CACAAACAAAAAAAAAAAAAAACAGCCTTCCCACCCTGCACTAAAAACCTGCGTGCTTGGGCCCCTCGATTCTTGTTAGCAGAATGTGTTCTTTGCAAGGGAGCTCCACATAGGCAAGGACGGGAGATCTGGAGAGAAAAGAGGGACTGGTTTGGCAGCCTCCCACCCTTGGACTGATTCCTTGTTTAATGGATCAAAGACCACACTTGGGAGGATTCTTTTGCACAGGGATCAGTGACCCAGATCCTAAGCCTGTGCTTGCTGACAGGTGGGGAAATGTTCTCAGACAGATGCATGTGGTTTCCAAGCCTTCAGGACCCAGGGTCTCATGAGTGGAAAAGGCGAAAGCCTTAGGGGCTGGCCTTGAGAAAGCCAGAAGATGCGAGCTTGTACGCCACATTCTCTGACATCTCTGGCTTTGTTTTTTCAGTATTTGCCAATTTGCTCTTCCACTTTTCTTCTCCTTTTGTTAGGTTTCTCCTTTCCATAATTAGAATGTTTACAATATACACAGCTGAAATAACACCAAACGTGAAGACCAGGTAAATCATAAACTAGAACAGGAAATATACCTAAGGAGTGGGGTTGAACTGTTTACCACATGCCAGGTGTGGTATTTCACAGTTATGGTTGAGCTTCCTGGTGGCCAAAGCAAAAATGGGAAGCAGAATCAATGTTGCGATTCATAAAATTTTATAAATCAATTTTGTAGTATCGATTGCATAGTGTGGACAAATGCTACTCCCATCTGAGGAGTCCAAAAGTTTTTTTCTAGCCCTTAGCCCTTAGAAAAAAATTTCAGATGCTGTATACAGGTGATGCTATCATGTGTAGTGTCCCTGGCTACATTTCTGAGTGCAAATGCAATAACACGTTTCAGAACTTTATTTCTCGGAGCATTCTTTGAAGAAAGCTACCAAACGGCTCCAAATTATGATTGAACGAGAGCCTTTAGACAGCAGAGTAAAATACAACTTCATAATGGTTTAGCTCAATCCAACAGCATTTTCTAAACCGTGTTTCTCAGAACTCCCATAATCATACATAGCATTAGTGAGTGTTGTATAAGGAAGGGGTTCCAGGATTGGGGGTGTATCTCAATGGTAGAGAGTGTGCTTAGTGTGTGCAAGGCCACAGGTTCGATCCCCAGCTCCACCAAAAGGGGGAGGGGGTTGTTTCAACAGGCAAATAAGTGAGAGATGAAGTCAGGACTACACAAAATCACACAAGTGTTTTCTTCCTTCCCTCCTTTCTTTCTTTTTTATAACTGCAGCCAAGTTCCAAGGAAGACAGAGGCAGGAATTCTGGGACGAGAGTATACGTGAAGACTTGCAGCAGCCCAGGGTGAAGAAAGCAAGTGGAGTAACAGGGCAGTTAGCTGGGGCCTGGCTCCCTGACGCCACTAGTGTGGGGCGTACAATGAGCTGGCCATGCCCGGAGGCCAGGGATGGGTCAGGCCATTTGATTGGGTAACTTTGAGGCTCCCTGATTGTTCCCCCAATGAATTCGATGTAGGATCCAAAGCTCAGACCAGGAATACCTTCCTCAGGATGCAGGGCTACGGTTATCTGCACTGTGTGGTTTCCGGGGTGACCTCTCTCTATCCCTGGCTGCAGCCTCCCCTGTTGCAGCTGGGGTGAAGACCCAACCCACGACAGGCTGTACAGCGTCAGCCTTGAGTCCTCATAAGAGAAGCCCCAGGATGGAAGAGACTGCATTTCAAAGGAAAAAAAAATAGTTTTATTCCAAATTAACGTGTTTATAGTTGTACAGCAATTAAAACAAGTAAGTATGTTTTCTCTGGAGATTTGGAAGGATTCCCTTATGTCTCAGGACTTTTAAGATTACAGCAAGCGCAAACATAACACGGAGTTGAAAGTGAAACCTAGACCAATGTGACATTTTTAGTCTCGAGACATTCTGTACCTCCCCTGGGATAGGCTTGCTTTAAGCTATGCCCAGATCCTGCCCACAGTCACTTCTCTTTAAGAAACGGGGCAAAAAGATTGCCAGAGTGTCTTGTCACACCCCGTGGAAAGATCCGTTACACCCGGGTCGGTTACTACCAAGATGCATCGATTACTGAGCATTCCCCGGTGCGCAGGCTGGGGAAGGTGGTGCTCACGCCATCCCCACGACTGTGTCCAGTGTTACCGTCTCCACGTCACCAGACTTAAAACTGAGCTTCCGTGAAGCTGAAACTCTCCAGGTTTCCCACGACAGAGTTAGAACAGACGATAACGAAGGCAAAGCGCCTTTAAGAAACGAAGCTGTCCCCCAAGCCAAGGTGACAGGATGACACAGAGGAACCCTCTGCGAACAGCAGTAACTTCTCAGAGGTGGTAGCAAAAGGAACGTTCACATGCTACTTTCTGTATATTTCCATTGTCTCTGGGTTGTTACAACCGATATGTTTTTCTTACTGGTGGTTCCCCAACAACACCAAAAAGTTTTTTTCTTTTTAGACTCTAACCCCAAATAACTTCCTCTGGCCTAATTTCAATCTCCACCAACTGCCTGTGACACTGGAGATTCCCGTTGAGCTGGCGGATAGACAGGGAAGACACAAGCCATATGACTTTACTGGGCTGTCCACCTGATGTTCGATATCTTATTACAAATAAATGTAGCTGGGCATGGTTTTTCGTCTCCTAGCCCCAACTCTTTCTAGGGTCTAGCAAACAGAAAGGAACAATAATATACAGGGCCATTTAGAGCAGGGAAAACTAAACAGTGTCTTTTAGCATAATCAAATACAGACATTAGGTCACTCTTGGCCGTGTACAAAGTCTGATTGTCTTATCAACATTTGACTATCAGAAAGCAAGTAAAGGCTTGTTTTCTCCATCCACTTCTCTGTTAGCAAAAGGTGTTTTCTGTGCAATGAGTGAAATCCAATTTGAACTCACTTAATAAAACAAGGCCGCAAGTTTGATCCCAAGCACCACAAAATACATACATATATACATTCATACATACGTATGAACAGGGACATTTTATGGGTTAATACAACTGAAAAATCTAAAGATAGGCAAGGCTAGACTTAGGTGTCCAAATAATGTCATTAAGACTTTGTCTCTCTCTCTCTCTTTTTTTTTTTTTTTTCATCTTTCCTTTACCCCAAACTTACTCTTGGCACATTCTCTACACACTGTGGTCCGGGCAGCTCCAGAGTTCCACCCTCAGGCTTGAAAACCCAGCAGACACACTTTTCCTCAAGAGTTCCAACAGAAATCTCAGAGTTGAACCTCACTGGCTGGGCTTAGTTCATGTGCCTAGGGCTGGACCAATCACTGCAGCCGGCAAGATGGAATTTTCTAATCACTGATTGGTCCGCCCTGAATAACATTCCATCAGCTCCCTAGTGGCAGACAGCCAGAGTGAAAGATCAACCCCAACAGAATCACACCAAGTGGCACTGGGGAACAGCGGTTGCTCAATGTGAAAACAGGCTACTGTGACCCACAAAGGGGAAGTAGATGCGGGCAACGATGCCCCAGTGCTGGATCCAGAGTCCCTTCAGCTTGATCGGGGGAGGGGGGAGGTGACAGAAATAACTGACTGGCCAGCTAAAGGTGGAGAAAATGGGAGG